CGAGATACCGTAGGGAATTGTATTCCATCGAACGAAAAGAGCAATGACAAAGTGAAATAAAAACACTGACCGTATAATGGTCTTAAAGTAAGCCCTGTACCCTATGACTACGTGCATAGCACGAAACACGTCAGCTGGGCTACAGCAACTGGACGTCTAGCCACCGCTGGTGGCCTTCCTGAATTCCCATTATACGGTCAGTGTTTTTATTTCACTTTGTCATTGCACTTTTCATTCGATGGAATAAAGTTCCCTACGACATTTATTCTCCTGAATTGGTTTAGTAGGGGGCCAGATGGAGACATCTATCGATAAAAGTCATAAGGCATTTGATGTTTTTTATGCAATAGCATTAATGCAATGTCATGCCTACATACTGTATAGCAGCATATTAAACATTTGAGATCCTTACACTCTACCAAACCCAGAGTTTGGAGGGATGCTTGGCAGGTTACAAAACACTCATCAAATTAAGTCTAAGGTAGTAAGGAAGTACCAAAAAAGTGATACTATGAAAAAATGTTGTATTCATTGCCTATAAATTATTATAAGTTCTTAGTTGATTTAGTTTCAATAAAATGTATACTTGCTTGTGGCTATTGATTTCTGCATTTTTTATATGATGCCTGTCCTTTGTATTGCCTTATTAAAGAGATAACAAAGGCTAATTTATTTTTTAAAATAAGAAAGGTGGAACTCTTTCTTCTTCTGGGTGCCCCTTTAGCAAGCTGTGTGTTATGGGAACACCCATACAGGCATGCTCCTTAGCCAGGCTGTGTGGGTCCATAGACACGCACAGTGCATATAGGCCACTCCTTTGCTCCCTCATCCCAGGAGTTTGACTGACAACAGCAGGAACCTATGGCTCCCACTGCCCTCAGTGACTCCTGTAAGACTAGGAGAGGTGAGCAGGGCTACAGCTGGGCCTGCAGAGGACCAGTAAGAGGAGTCAAGTAAGTGTTTAGGAATGGGGGGACAAATAGGTGTGTTTTTTTTTACCTTAGTGCAGGCAATGCATTAAGTTAAAAAAAGTTAAACTTTCGAACGACTTCGAACATACAATATATACTACACTCACTGGCCACTTTCTTAGGTGCCCATTGCTAGTACCAGGGTTGGACCCCCTTTTGCCTTCAGAGTTGCCTTAATTCTTCATGGCATAGATACAACAAGGTGTTGGAAACATTCCTCAGAGATTTTGGTCCATACTGACATGAGTTACTGTTGCCTTTCTATCATCTCGAACCAGTCTGCCCATTCTCCTCTGAACTCTGACATCAACAAGGCATTTTCGTCCACACAACTGCCACTCACTGGATATTTTCTCTTTTTCGGACCATTCTCTGTAAACCGTAGAGATAGTTGTGTGTGAAAATCCCAGTAGATCAGCAGTATTATAAGTTTGCAATATGCTGGCCAATACTCACACATGCCCATCAGGCATCAACAACCATGCCACATTCAAAGTCACTTAAATCCCCTTTCTTCCCCATTCTGATGCTCGGTTTGAACTTCAGCAAGCTGTCTTTACCACATCTAGATGCCTGAATGCATTGAGTTGCTGCCATGTGATTGGCTGATTAGCAATTTGTGTTACTAAGCAATTAAACAGGTGTACCTAATAAAGTGGCTGTTGTGTGTACATTGTAATTATCCTGACTTGAAATTCACAACTCTCTGCACAAATGTTTTTGCGTCATTAATGTGGGGAGAGGTTAAATTTGACAATGGGAACTCTGGCTCTTATCTATGCCTCAGTCTAATATGATGCCACAGTATCTTTCTTAAAATTACAACCACATCCTGAAGGGAAGTTGCTTTTTATGATATAAAGGAGTCCCAGTTTCGTATCTGCTTCTCTCATTTTAACTTCCCATGTCTCTGTTCTTGCAAGATAGCTAATGTGCACAAACAACTGTTTTTCTATGTCATAATTACAATACCATCAACCACAGTATGGAGCTCTTAATTGTTAAAGTTCCTTGTGCTAGTTTAAAGGTGTTAATTGAATTAAATTCCCTCCTTCCTCTGAAAGGATGCCTTTTCAATGGCCCTAAAATGTAGCCTTAGTACCTGCAAGGTAATGTGTTCACTGTTTCAGGAACCAGTCTCTTTGCATTTGCTGCAGTTAGTTGTTAGTTTTAAGGGTTTAGCAGACAATGAATGGCAAAAAAAAAAAACATTAATCTGGTACATTGTCTCCTTGGTTAATTAAAATGTATTATTTTCATGTTTGAATCCTCGCTCAACCCAATTATTTTTTCAGTGAATTGCAATTAGTATTTTAGACACATGTGAAGTTACTTCTGTGAGCTCAATGCATGTAAGTATATTCAAAGTGGTTCTGAAGTCTAAGCGTTTTTTTTTACCTGAATGCATTCCCTGCATTGCGGTAAAAACTCTTTAATACTACTTCCCCCCTTTCCCCCTCTCAGTGCTGTGGCACTGTCCTCTCTTCCTCTCTTTACAGGAGACACAGGCATCAGTGGGAGCCACAGGCTCCTGCTGCTGTCAGTTAAATCCTGTGGGGAGGGAACAGGGGGGCATGCCTGAGCCAGGCTGTGTGGGCCTATGGGCACAGACAGCCCTGCTCAGAAACATGCCTGCATAGGTGCCCCCACAGTAGAGCACTGGCAAAAGGACTTCAGAAGAGGAGGTTCGGGACCACTGTGTGCAATACCACTGCACAGAGCAGGTAAGTATAACCTCATAACAAAGCTGACAGTGCTTTGTTTTTGTGCTATGTTGCACATATCTTTATTTAATTTGATGGTTATTGTTTGTATATGCTTAGAATTACAGGGAAGTGATGCTTCCATCACTCAAAATGTAATATTCCACCCCCATTGTCTTTATTGGGCATAGAGGGGGAGGGAGGAAGTGGGCTGTCATTTATCAGAGTGTATACACCCAAGTGTCTGACCCTATAGTCATGTGGGCTGCTCAGATAAGAAAAAGGAGGAAATAACAGCTTAAAAGGGATCTGAAACTGGAGCATGCTCAGTAGATGTGGCAATGTCTGGTCTGCTAAATCTCCGCTTGCAGCAGGGACACAGAGGGACATTGAGCAGCAGGATCAACCAGGTTTTTTTGCAGATTACAAAAAACAAATCCCATAGTGACTGAGTGAGTATGAGTGAGTATGAACAGCATGTAATAGAGCATGTGCTGACAGTTTTTAATGATGTGGGTTTAATAGCACTTTAAATAATCTATTTTTATGCTGTACATATCAATGGTGATTTGTAAAATGTGAAACTGTAAATCTGATAGAGCCAAAAAATGTACAAATTTTATTTTAATCTGAAATGAAAGGCTGTGTGTTAACACCTATAATCATTCAATGGCATTTATGAGACATAATTACTTGCCCTTTTAGGGTAAAGTGACACTATATCCTGATAGCTTACCACCCAGCAAAAGTGTGCTTGTTGTAGGTGATGGCCACAGGTGCCACTGCCCAGGGACATGGGGAACCATCCTGCATGTGCCCTCTGTCCCTGTACAACAATAACAATGAGGGTTGTCACCCGCAGATGACCATATGGTAAATAATCTTCCCAGGCTCCACACCAGAGGAACCAAAAGGATCATGACTCCTTGTCAGCCGATGACATTGGTCTGTTCCTACCTGTCCAGGCACCAGACCACAGATCATTTTGAAGTCAACAGTGAAGAACACTAAATACCCTCTACTAGTTCTTCAGTACAGTACATTAATCTTGCTCCAACCTGTAGGATTGGAAGGGAACACCACACACATGCAAGACCTTGCTTCTTTCATGATCCAGGCCCTGTCCCTAGAAAGGTTCTGTATCACGTCAGCCATAGAGTAGGGACCTGCCACTGAAAAGAGCATGTTTAGACAGGCTCAAAACCACCCTTCTGACTGCAAACCTCTATCACTGGCCACCACCATCCCTGTCCTGTACTGACTAATCCTCATTCCCCTCATTACACACATTGAGATGGCACACACAAGTGTATCTTCATTAAGTGACCAGACTTTGCAGAATAAATAAACTTATTTTCTGAGTGTAGTTCATGATGTTGGTACAAGATGTTACATTGCTTTGGGTAAGAGGTATCATTTACACAGTCATCTCCATTACAGAAGACTGAGAGAAGCAATGGGCCCATTAGTTGAACATAAGTCATTCAACTTCTCCATAGTTAACAATGACAATCCCCTTTTTGGTAGCTTGACTGCTATATAAAGATTTAACTGTGGAAATGATATGTATAATAGTGTACAATGGTGTATGTACCTTTATCTCAAACTCTTCCCACACATATACTGACTCTTAACACTTTCTGAGGTCAGGTCTCATTACAGGTGGACTCCATCCTCCACTAACAATCACATCCTAGGATGTGTGGCCTCTCCTGCTCTTCCATGGGTCCGAAAAGCATTACGCCCCAGGGAACACTTCTTTTTATACGTTCAATAGTTTTCTTGCCTCCAGACAATGCACACAATTAACTCCATGTGTACTGGGCATTAATTCACACATAAACACAGTGCCTATAGTAACAATATGCATAAACACAATGCCCACATTAATACCTGCCATCTTACTCACCCACCCACACTTTCTTGCCACGTCTTTGCTCCATCACAGCTCTCACACTGATGCTCTAAAATACTAGGGGTTCCAGGTATTAGAGAACATGTATCTCCCCTATGTGACAGTGCTTGGGTCTCATCAACTAATCGCCAGGCTCAAACTCTGTCATGTGGTGGTGGTCGTGGAAGGGTGGATTTAGGAGGTGGCAGTGACATCATCCACCATTGTAAGCTTCAACACTGGAACATACATACGGTGTACTCTAGCAGCAGGGAACAGTGCGGGAGAGTGTGGATTGGTGAGAAAACCTTGCTGGGGGGTGGACTATCAGAAGGTACTCTCATTTTGCTCTAAATAGACAGGTGTCATTGTTTTTCTAAGTAAACAGAAACTTTCAGCTCTGATCTAAAATGTTGCCTTTTTATTGCACAGATTGAGGACTTGAATCGGAAGATTTTGGACCTCCGAGGGAAGTTCAAACGCCCAACACTGCGGAGGGTACGCTTGTCAGCAGATGCCATGATGCGAGCACTTCTGGGCACAAAACACAAGGCAGCCATGGATCTAAGAGCCAACCTAAAACAAGTCAAGCAAGCCAAAAAAGATGATACAGATAAGGTAAGTGCAAATTGTAGTTATTTTGTTTGTATGTTTCCCTTGCATTTCCATCTCTTGACATTTGAGGATACATCTAGCAAATAATCTGTGAATTAAAGTGTTACTAAACCCACAACAGTAAAATCAGTCTGTATATGCAGTAAAGTATGCTTGTTATGCTCACTGTGGAACCTAAGGGGTTAATTCTATGCATTGTGTAAAAAGGATGTTTGATCCTGTCTTCTCTGATCCTCTCCTTCTTCTACTGTCCCCAGTCCATCTCCTGATACAACAGAGCCTTGGGGGCAAGCTGCACATGTTCAGTTTGGTGTGTATTGCTAGAGAGTTTTTTTTCTTGTGCGAGTGCATGTGATCAGCACAGGATAATCAGCACTGTCCAGGTACAGGGTTAGGGGTCCTGCAGCCACATAGCACAGTTAGGGGAGAATGCAAACTCCTCCTACAAGCTTTAACTAGTTCTCTGCTGGACACTGATAGAAGTCACATGGCTGCTCTAACTGCTGATGATCGGCTGTTGAAAAAAAAATTTAGCAGTTTATATTTATTAAAATATTGCATTTCCATGTTGTGTGTACTGTGAGAGACCAGATATAGTGAATGAAGGGTCATGGGTTTAGTAACACTTTAAAGAGTTGTCGAGGCCACAACTCTTTCTGTTATTGGATATGCTGTATAGTTTAACAGAATTTGTTCTAGTTAAACTGAGAAAAAAAAAGTGAAACTTTAAGAGAGTGTACATAATTATATATGCCTATGGCACCATGTGTAAGTATGCCAAAGTAATGGACGCTTCAAGGACATTCGGTGTGAGATACACCTTGAATAAAGGTTTAAAAAAAGGCCAGAATGCAATGAGTAATCTCTGGGCTTGAAGTGCCTGAGTTCAGTACTTCCAGGTACAATGGTAAAACTTTATGGAAGTGGCTTTTCTTGCTTTTTGCAAGGTAGAAATGACAGGCTCTGAGACTCTTCTCTCTCTCAAAACCTGGGCTTCAATAGCCATGCTGTTAAAGCCAGAGACTGCGAAGCAGAATGGAGCACAGTGCACTGAGACAGCAGGTCTCTCCTATTGGGTAGTAACTAGAAGTCATCTCCTAGTAGTCTGAGTATATCTGTGTACCAGGTTCTTCTTGGTCAGTTTGATTCAATTAAAATCACCATCTTCTTCTCTTGCCCTATCTTGTGTATTAGATGAGGTAGAATTTGCACTGGGTGGGGGGAGGGGTGTATAGACTAGCCTGAACTGAGATTAGAAGATTATCAAGTCATCTGATGCCAGCGCTAGGGAGTCCTTGTTCCTGGCCACAAACAGAGGTAGTTGTTGAATCTGAACGCCAGGATGTTCACATCCGGGGTTCTCCGTTACTGAAGACTGGGTAAATTGTCCATTCCCCTTTATCCAGGATGAGGTAATCTGCTTTCTAATTGTCTACCCCTGGGATGTGGACTGCAGATATCACTGGATATTGAGTCTCCACCTATGAGATCTCTCTTGCTTCCTTCATGGCTGCATGACTCCTGATGCCCCCTTGACCATTGATGTTGGCCAAAGCTGTAGTATTGTCTGAATGCATTCTGATTGGTTGTCCTTGCAGAAGGGGAGTTCAGTGTTCCAAACCCATTCTTATTGATCTGAGCTCCAGGATGTTGATGAGAAGCTTGACCATATTCTCTGGACCATGAGGGACTGAAACACTCCTCCCCAACCTCTTGAAACACTGGCATCTGTCATCACTTTCCTTTGATAAGGAATGAAAATATTCCCCTATTGTTAAGGGCTGGACTGGAGATCCACCAAGTTAGGGAATTCCTTACTTGCCTGGACAGGTGCTGGGTAGGTCAAGAAAAGAAGCAAGCTTGCTCCAGGTTAACAAGATGTTGTGTCAGAGAGGTCTCAAATGAAATTGTGCAAATAGTATAACCTCAATGAAGGCTACCATGGAGCCTACAACTCTCATGGAAAATCTAATTGTGGGATGTCCCATTGACCCTAATTCTAGAACATGAGCTTTGATTTTCTACTTTAGATTGCAAACCTTTGCTTGGGATGTGTTCAGGACCACAAACAAGTACAGTATTCCAGGTGAAGAGAAGTCAACTTCTTGTACCCAAAAAATATTCTTTATGATTGCGCCACAAGCAGACGTCTAACAAACAGCTTTAAATCTCAGAAAAATAATTTGTAAAAGATTAAACGCTTTCATTACATATGCGTTTCTGCACAATACCTACCTTAAAGAAGAACTTCACACTAACTACTGAGCAACCAGCAATTGCTGTACAATATATTATAAATTGTGCTGTATGTATGAAGGACAGGAGTATGAAATACACAGCATAGAACATAGAACGGGTCAGGAGTGCATAAAGCACAGAGCACAGGGGTCATTGGTATGTAACACACAGCCTGAAGGGGTCAGGAGTACATAATACACAGAGTGCATGAGTCAGGAACGCATACTGCACAGAGTGCAGTGGTCAGGAGTTTCTATTGCATACAGCGCAAGTGTTCAGTGCACACGATTCAGAGATCTGCAATGCGTAAAGCACAGAGGCCAGGATCAGAGGCACATAATGCACAGAGTATCAGGGTCAGGATTGCATCAGGACTGATGTCCCTCCTGGTACAGAGCCCCCCTTAGTACAGCTCCTCCTCAGTACAGATCTCCTCTTATAGTTCCCCCCATACAGCGGCCTTAGTACATTCCCCAATACAGCACTCCAGTACACATGCCTTTCTGTTAGTTCAGCTACCACCTAGTACAGATTTCCCCCATTAGCACATCTTCCCCAGTACAGATCTCCCCCCTCTTAGTGCAGCTCTCCCAGTACAGATTTCCCCATTGGTACAGCTCCCCCTAGTTGAGATTTCCCCCCAGTGTAGCTCCCGCCCGCTTAGTGCAGCCCCAAAACAGATCTCCCCCAGAACAGATTTCTCCCCTCTTAGTACAGCTTCCCCCCAAAACAGCCCTTAGGACAGATCTCTCCAGTACAGCTTCTCATCATTAGTACAAATCCCCCCAGTACAGCTCGGCCCCCCCCCTCCCTTCCCCTCAGTACAACTCTCCAAGTAAATTTCACCACCCTCTTTGTCAGTAGAGCTCTGCCCCCCCCCCCCCCTTCCTTGGTATAGCTTCCCAAGTAGAATTCCACACCTTCTTTGCTAGTACATATCCTCCAGTACTGCTTCCCATTAGTACACATCCCCCAGTGCTGCCTCCCCACCTTAGCACAGCTCTCCCTCAGTACAGATCCCCCTTCTTACAGCTCCCCCAGTACAGATCTTTCTCTCCCACTACAAATCTCCACTTCAGTACAGCTCCCCCAGTACAGATACATAGGTAGATAAATATCCCCCATAGTATAACTATCCCCCCCCCCCCCTTTAGTACAGCTCCTCACAGTAGAGATCTTCCCACCCAATACAGGTCTCCCCTTACTACATCTCCCCAGAACAGATCTCTACCCTCTTTAGTATAACTTTCCCCTTAATGCATTCTATGCATTAAGATGAAAAACCTTCTGTGCTGTATACTCCCCCCAGCCCCCCCTTATTCTTACCTGAGCCCCATAAAATCTATCGATGTGCACGAGAGAGAGCAGCAGCTCTTGCCGCTGTATCCCTCCTCCATGGGCAGATTTATAGCAGCGAGTGCCATTGAGGGAGTGGGGGACAGGGCCAAGCAGCCCGCTCTGTGTCAAAAACATTGCGTGTTTTTTTTTTACTCCCCAAAAAACTGAAAGGAGCCCTAAGGACAGAATGTACTGACCTAGAAATGTCAAGAGCAAGTTTTCCCACAAGTCTGCAATTTGTGGGTGGTGACAGCTTAGTTATTAGTTTGTGCATGTGGTTTGTGTAGTGTTATCACATTTACAGTCGTTACCTACTGTCCGGTTTTGGGGGAACTTTGGGTTTCTTGTGATAAATAAGGCAAAAAAAAACCTTATAAGCATGGTGCAACTTGCTCCAAGAGGGGAAAAATAAATTCCTTCCTGATCCGAGAAAAGACATGCTTTAAATAGCAAAACAATGCTTGTGTCATAAAAAAAACTGTTATTCAATAAAGCATGTTCAGTTCTCTGCAGTGCGCCAAGCATTGAAAAATGAGGCTTGTCTATTTTTCTGAATCTTCATACTGTGTTGCCCAACATAATAATGTAAACATGTTATAATGAATGGTAAAAATGTACTAAAAGAAAAAAAAAAATTAATAAAGTGGATATGGATAGATGTGAAACTGGCTACAGTGTGTAAACATGTGTTTTATTAAGAACTATGTCTGTTTTTCTCTGTGTCACACAGGATAAACTGGAAGTTGGCGACTGGAGAAAAAAATGTTGATGCCCTGAGCGGAATGGAGGGCAGGAAAAAGAAATTTGAATCCTCTGGCACTGTGCAGTCTTAAAAAGGTACCATTACAGCTGAACGGTTATTTATGTATACTGTAAAACCTTCTTTGATGTAATATCATCCTGTGTGTCTGGTGTTCATGGCAATGGCAAGCTGGCATTTCATGGCAAAATCAAACAGCTGGTAGCAAAATAAATGACTTAATACTGGATGTCAACTGCTAGCAAGGTATCAGGATAATGTCCATCAACAAGTAAACCATCATATATTTGGTCCCCAGGATGTTGCAGGCCTCTACATGACAGCAGCCACAGCTGGCCTGGCCTAACATCAAGTTCATGGCAGGATTCTCTACACTCCTACATTGTTCTGCTTTTCAGCTCCACTACTATTATAGAACTTACAGCACTATTACTCATTTTTTCTATTACATTAGTCTTTTGGCATTGTGTACAATCCAAATGAAAAATAGTCGTATTTTAGGAAACTGTAAAATCATTTTCATGTCTTTTGGTAAAATGTAACATCAAATTTCCTTGTTTAGATGCAAACAATACATTGCAAGTATTTCAGAAAATTAATTGTGATGTTACTGCTGCTTTCTGTACTGAAACTCACAAAATAAATCCACTCCCTTCTTATTTCCTGCAGGTATTTCCACTTAAATAATGAGTACTACTACAGTCATATGATCAGTCCTAGTCCATTGTTGCAATATTAAAAAAAAACTGCA